CTTCAGTGGTGCTTTTGTGGAGTTTTGGTGCTGACACGTGTAAGCACTCAAGGCCGTGTTAGTCTTTTTGTACTAGGAAGTGGACTTCGCATTTTTCTTCATGAGGGTGAGGCTTTTTTGTGGTTACTCATGTAAATATGTAGTTGACGGGGAACCTTTCAGTTTCAGACAAGTTATTTTTGGTCTTGATTTAGATGCCATCCTTTGGCTATTTAGCTAGCTGTGTCTAGTGTTAGTCACTGTTTCCAAGATGTCTTCATGTATTCATTCCAGAGTCACAGATGAGATGATGTGAAAGAAAATGTAATGAGTTCACAAAGCACTGGTAATTCAAGGCAGAAATTCTGTTTTGAAGATGATATTGAAAAAAACCTACAGAGTACAGATCAGTATTGTAGAGGAACAGAGGAGAGCAGGATATGTGCTCTATAAGAGGAGTGGTTTTGCATCCTTTTCACTGACAATTAGAGATTAATTCACTAGGAGAAAACACATCTTTAAAGCAATTTTAGTGCCACAAAGTGAATTTATTTTAGAATCAACACTGTCACTTGAAATATTAAGTGATGTTGAAGTGTGCCATTAAGTATGAAAGAAGCGCTTCTCCAGATGATGTGTTCATTGTACAGTGATGGCCAGTGAGGGTCTCGCTTATTGCACCATAGTTGACTAACTCGGGTGCCCTGTGCATGCTCTGGACAATTTGCTGGATAAAGTCAGTGAAGTCAGAGATGCTGTGACTTCTAATGAGGCCACTGCAGCAACCTGAATGCAATGTATAAATGTTCTGGTTCAGTAAACTCCTGAATTTTCACTCCCTTCACTTTATTTCCTTTATGGATCCATAAAACTTTTTTCGGGCTAAGTTGCCTTGTTCTTTTGACTTGGCTCTAAGGTGTTTAACATCTTGCTGCTGCCATGCTTTAACCCTTTCTGGGCTCCATGTGAGCAACTGCTGTGACTTTACCAGTAGAAGGCAGTATGAGCTGCATGAGTCAAACTCCAGCTGAATTTGGTATCTGTTACAAAATTATTTTATTTACTGCTAGAATTAAATAAATTAGGACTCATGTTGTGGTTTATTCGCTTATTTATATCTCTTGTAATGGAACTTAGAAGTTCACCTGACAGTAAGTCTGATAAATGTAATATATTAGAAGCAACTTCAGTAATGGGAGAAGAAAAGCTCCATAAAATGGGAAACTGAGGCATAAGGCGTGAGATGCACAAGGGTGTATCAGACTGACAGACAGCTCTACCAGATTTTCTTAATTCTAGTCTAGTATTTTGTATTATGTGTCTGTGCTATCCTGTATTGTAGACAGCTGCTGATACAATTGTAGTTCCTTTTGGGATTGTTTATCAAGGAAGAGCTTAACAGAAGAAAAGAAGGTTGTGGCTCTGCTGCTTACCATTGCACTGTTCAGTATTTATTCTCGTTCATGAGATAAGGAAGATACATGGCTGTACTATTTTCTATGGTTTGAGAAAGATGAACAAGAAAAAAAGTGAATACTGTTTCACTTATAAAGTTTAGTGTAATGGTATCGCGCAAATGGAGTTTGCAGTAAATTCATGTTCTGTGCACGTTTGTATTCATACAGCTACTTCAGAATATAAATCTATTTATCTTTGAAAAAATTAATTCACTTAAAAACCAAAACAAACAAACCACAAAAAACCCCACAACACAAACACAACTCCCTTCTCCCATCCAAAAAAGGTGCCAAAAAACCTCAAAACCTTTAGCTTATCTCTTTAACTTTTGGCTTTGGCTAACGCTGTCCTTAGAGCAACAATGCAAATTCTTCAGGTGCTATTTCAGACACTGGGATGAATGCTTGACTTGTCCTAATCATGAGCCAATAATTGGTTCAAGATTCTATTTCAAACAGATTTTAGCATATTGCTAAAATTAATGCTTGATGTTTTAATTAGTCATTATACATGACTAGATACAGTGATGAAAGTACTTTTTAAAGGTGGGTCGTTGCTGATATTACTATGGCTAGCTGATAGCCTGTTGTTGCCAAAACTCTGGTTGTGCTTCTGACAATTTGTAGCGAGCGGAGCTTAACATAATTGAGAAGGCTACAGTCAAAGCTGAGAAAAGCGGCAGGCAAAGCAGTGCTTGCTGCCTTGAACGCGCAAGAGCTGCCACAGGTGAAGTGAAAGCCGCTCTAACGCAAGGCATCAAACTGCAACAGAGTAGGTTTAGACTGGACATTAGGAAATTTTTTTTCACAGAAGGGATAGTCAGACATTGGAATAGGCTGCCCAGGGAGGTGGTTAAGTCACCATCTCTGGATGTGTTTAAAGGTCATTTAGATGTGGTGTTGGGGGATATGGTTTAGGGGTGAACTTTGTAGAGTGGGGTTAATGGTTGGACTCGATGATCCCAAGTGTCTTTGCCAACCTGAATGATTCTATGATTCTGGATGTGATTGTGTGTGTGTCGTAGAATCTCATCATAACTCTGAAATTTTTACATGACATAGAAAGTGGAGAGGGACAATTTATTTGATTGTTCTGGGGCATGATGATAGCTATTGAACCCTGCCAAACAGCCATACTGATGATATGGGAAGTTTAGTCACTCAGTGACCTGGGAAAAATGGATTTAACCTCTGGTGGCTAACTTGTGAGCGGCAGACTTTGCAAGCTTGCAAGCTAGGCTTCTCGTGGATTCTGTTTTTTCAGTTGTTTAACTATATAGTGAGAAGTCAATACAGTATACAATTTGATGTATTAAAAAAATGGAGATGAGTTGAAAAACTGGAGTTTATGTATGTGTGTACGTGCATACATACAGACATGTATATGTAACTGACACTGGAATATAGTTTGGGTTTAGTTTTGCATTTGTAAATATCCTAGTCTTTTGAACTTAGACGCAAATAAGACTTGAGTCTGCAGAGGTTTTTGAGTAATGGTTGCTTCCTAAAACAACCTTTTCCATTGGTAGGTTGTTTTTTTTAATTTAGGACCTGTCTGGACTGTCCAGTGTGGAAATTAGGTAGCCTAAACAGTGGGGAAAATGTCTTTTTCTAACATTACGTACTTTTCTACTTCTTCCCCCCAAGCTGGTCAAAGAGTGAATTCTGATCAAGTTGAGTGAGCTTCTAAACGAGCTTCCTTTCAGAAAAGCCATGCCTTTATTCTAATTTCAGCAGGTCATTTGCTCTTCATACCTCAAATCCCAGGTATATGGCTTCTAGCTGACTCTTTCAAAAGTAACAATTTCTTTAACCAATTCAATGTTAGTTTGTAATAATGTCTACCTTTAGAATAGACAACTGTCCGTCTATTTACTATCCACTGTTTTGTCACTAACATCTACTTCAAATTTTTGAAGTTAACCATAGTCCTGTCTTTTGAAATGATAGTCCTAACTTTAAAACTGAAAGATTCATGTGCTGGATGGTGTCTGCTATTCTTACTTCTCTGGAGGAAGTTTGACTGTTTCCTAGTCCTGTTAGATCAAGAGCCCATTTAATACCCACTCCTTGTAAGGTTCGCTACATTTTTAAGTCTCCTGCGAAATGAGATTTAAGACAACACTAGTGTTGAAGTTGAGGCGAAGTGTGTCCTGTAAGGCCATTTTCCTGAGCTACAGCTTGGTAGTGTGGTTTGTTATTTGACAGTTACTTCCTGACTTAAGACACCACAGTAAAAGGGCCTGTTTGTTTAATAGCCACCCTGTATGATTTTTCAGTAGCAGAAATTCCTGATCTGGGCTGTATTTCCAGTACTATATTACTACAGTGTTTAATACTAGTTACCTTATTTAACAAATGAGCACCAATTTAAAAATAAATCCAAGCTCCAAAAGGCTTACAAATCCCATTATGTACTTTTTAATAAAATCCTCAGGGCAGTATTGGAGCAGCCTACCTAATGATCCACCTTCCTGACTCTTCCTAACTTAAAGCCTGGAATATAAAAAGTGGTTTAAATGCCATAGCATATTTGAAATCAAGCTGTCCTTCCATGGAATACTCATGGCCTGAGGAGAATGTCACAGGGCTACCTTCTCTTCTCACCAGGAGGTATGTTAAACTTGCAACAGAAAATATTGTTACAAGTGTAGATGTATATAATGAAAAGCTGTTTGTGAAGCCTAACCTCTTATCTTTTACTCTGAAGTGTTCACCTGTAGAAGACAGAAGAGGGATCCTTGATTTACAGCAGATTATTCTGACTCAGTCTATACCTATTTGAGGGGATCTGTTGGAATAATGTGATACACTGAGTATAAAATCTCTAGGTTATCAAACTGACACTGAAAAATAGCTGCCAACACAAGTGGCTTCAGCCAAAGATGAATTTTTTTTTTCCTGGCTGGGTTTGCTGTTTGCTAGCATGATCCGGTCTGGGATAGGAATATTGACAGATCTAGGGGTTGCCTGGTGCTGTAGTGCACACAGGGTGAACAGTCTTTCTTGGCTGATGATTTTTCAGTGTCACTGGTTCAAAAATAAATGATGTCTGTTCTCATCATACATTTCCGTCAAAATGGAAACTAAATTTAGATGGCCAATTTTGGGTTTTTACTTAATGGCTGAATTTGTAATTCGTATATGCAAGACTTGCTCAAGCAAACTTGAGCTTCTAACTGATAATTACTTTGTTCTCCTCCCATTGCTAGTGTTCAGTGCTGTTGCTAGTATCTAAAATAGACCAGCTGTGCAGTCACTGTAATTGATTGCCCACACTTCCCCTTTAAAAGTCACTTAGGTGACTTTACCTGTGGTTAAGTGCTGCTTCTTTAAAGGCCATATATGTTAGGTAGTTGTATTATTTACATGAGTGAAATGTCCTGATAGTAGGCAGGTAGCATCTTTGCTCCAAGTGCCACTTCTCTTTTCTTGTATTAATATAGTTTCACAGAATACTCTATCCTTGTTAGCAACTAAGGAAATTGACTTTAAGAACTATGTAAAGGTGATTCTATGATTCTATGATCCTCTACATTTAATTTGTTTTTTTCTTTTGCAGGAAGCGTTTCTCACCATGGCCATAACACAGTTTCGACTCTTTAAAATCTGTACTTGCCTGGCAGCAGTTCTTACTTTCATTAAAAAGTTAATATGCAGGTAAACATGCCTTATTTAATTTGATTACTTCTTATTTTTTAATTACAGGTTCCTACACTTCTTTCCTTCTCCCAACACCCACTCACCACTTTTCCCAGTTCTGACTTTACTAATTGCAAAACAATCAAGACGGGTAAAAACTAAGTCATTACTGAATCTGCACATTCCTTCAGAGTTCAAAAGTCTATGTAGTGCAGCTATGAGTGTATTTTTTGGTATGATACTCTAATGAGGAGTGTTTTCTAAAGAGCTATGACTGGATTTTAAGTTGCATTTTGAAGCTGTCACATGTCCAACTTTAAGAAAATTTTTTTCAGTTTTATAGAAGTACTTGGCAAGTGTTTTTTAAGAAATTCAGCTAATGGCAGCATCCACCCAGTCATTACTCAGTAAGCTTTCTTATAAATATAAGTGATTCTCATCCTACTTTGTCAAGACGTAGTTGCCTGAGACTTCAAATTCTTCTGCCTCTTGGAGATTCTTTCAAAATTCTGGAATACAGTGATGAAAATTCAAGTGAACTGCCTTTTTTTTTTTTTTTTTTTTTTTTTCTCTGAACATGACTTGTTTTTTGCTTACTCTTCCAAGCCATACTTAGTGTTCTTCTGAGTTAGGGGCCTATGAATGCAGCACTGTGGTACCTAGCAGCATTCAAAAAAACCCCTGAAGTTACGATTGTATCATAGTAGAGTTCAATAGTGCAGGAGCAGAGTACCTGAGGTAGATCTTCGCAACAGTGTACTGCCATGTGAACTGCTGTTGCTTCTTCATCTCTCCTGGAGGATGTTGTTTTACATAAACAAACAGCAATTGAGAGAAAGGTATTCTTCTGTGGAGTATGATGACTACTACTTTGCCAGTGAGGTTAAAGCATATGCAGAATATGTGGGCGACAAAAAAACCACTTATTTCTTGCTCACCTTTACTTATTCCAAGAATAAGAGAAAGTTCTCAACTGGTTGGTAAATTCACTACAATCTTGTGAAGCTTTATAAAGATACATATTGATGCTGTATACAGCTATGTAGTTGTCAACCCTAGTTCTATTATTTGAATTCCAAATTAAATTAAAAATACTTGCTGTTCAAGTTCTAAAAGAAGTCAAAACGCACTGAGATGATGATGATAGCTTCTGTGTTATGTGGACACTTCATCTAAGTGTTAAGATATTTTTATAAGCAGATAATTGCTTAGTAGGTGTAATCACAGTATTTTCTTCTGTTTTTCAACTTTTGAATAAACTAAGTCCTTGAAGTGAACACCTGAGGAACTGCCTCGGAGTAAAATGGAGAACTTTGCCTCTGTGAATAACCATTAGTTGAAAGAATGAAAAGGTCAAGTCTTTCACATAAGTGAGTCAGTGGATCACATCATTTCAGTGCATTAACTACAGATGTTTCTTGTGTTTAATGTCAGCATAGCTTGCTAAATTTTGCTTTCCTGTAATGCACCCCTACCTGTGAGATGCCTGATAACCAGCAAATGTGATTTAATTAAATGTGGATTTTAATTCAGTGGGCATGAGCTAATTATTATTTAGATTATACAGTTTACATTAGTTTTTCATTTAAAAAAGTGCTTTTAGTGATCATGCATCTTTCTAGTCAGCATAAAGCCTGTTTATAGTACTAGACATCTCTTTAGTTAAAACTTCTTTTGATAAACAACTTGCCCGAATCCAGTGTTTCCAGGAAATAAAAGGTATAACTATAAAAAGAGATGAAACATTTTTCTGTTTAGAGTCTTCTCCAGCTGAGAGATCTGGATGCTGCTAATTAGTAAGGAGAAACAAAACAAAGAATTCTTGAGGCATTTGGCTTTTAGAGCAGTGAACAGTATCTGTCTAATGATGGATGTGAAACAACTGTGCCTGTAAACATCTCCTTTGTAGAAGGAGGGACAGGTAGCTGCCCTGGGTAGTGTGTTCTTTCCTAGGTTGTATGACAGAAGCTGTTTCATCCCACCTTCACCCTTGTCGGTGTAATCATTTTGGCTGGACAAATGCTTGTTAAAAGCCACTTGCTGAAGTTTTCCAGATCACCTAAATAGGGAAATATATACATATAATTGCAGACGTGATGGCTTAGAATAGTGTTAAAGATAGGTATGTTGTAGAGGTCTGAAGGAGGATGTTTCCAAGCTTGGGTTTCCTTTAGAGACAGCTAGTGATCTAATGTATTTGAGGGAACAGTGTTTTCATGTTCCATTACCCCTAAACTGTGTTGCCTTTCAGCTCAAAGGAGCAGTTTCTAATGGGGCTAGAGTTAATTTTATAAAGCTTGAAAATGTGTCAATAGCACCTGATCTTTTCTGAGGAAGAATCTGTTGGGCTTAAAGTAGGAAAAATATATCTAATCGCTCACCAGCGTGCAGCAGAGGTGGTATTACAAGCAATTTAGGTATTCTGAGTTGATGGTAGAACATCCTCTAACAGTAAAACTAATGGATATGAACTCCAAATCATAGTTTGCTGATTTTATCCTCATGAGTAGTAATAAATGAAACTTAATTTTTCCAAGCTGAATAACATCAATTGCATGACTGTCTTGCTATAGGAGCTTACACCCCTTGGGGAAAACAGGAATGTGAGCCTGAATTTTGTTCTCGCATGTTGTAAGGCTTTAAACATAGTGAATGTTAGCTAAGAATATTTTAACTATTGTTAGGATCTTTGAACACTGTCAGTGTATATTTACAGTAAGTAAATATCTAGGTGTTTGCTTTCAGTTAAAATTATTTGATACAGTTGCTGAAATGCTTTTATTGAAACAGTATTCTTTATGTAAGTAGAAGCATATATTGAACAGAAGCTGTTGTCTTGCATAATCTTGTACTGCCTCTGTTTAGACTTCGAAGGAAAAAGTGCTATGAGAGGGCCTTTCAAACCAAGCAGCTCAGCAATTGGTTAGACACACCTTACGACAAGTAGAAAGATTTCTCAGTTTACAGTGGAAATGGTAATCTGTAAACAAATGTAGATGGATAGTGTTTGCTTCATAAGCACTGACAACCTAAAGATTGTAACTGACTGTATGCAAATAACTGAGTTAATTTGTTCATTTTCATGTTTCTTTGAGTTAGTTTTCCTCTCTTTCCACTGCAGTTTGAGAAGTAAATTGCACTTTGAAATTCTTGCGAACATTACTTTAAATTAATGATGAAATTCCTTTGTTTAGCAGACTTTTACTGGCAGTAGTTAATACTAAGGTAGTTTAAGCTTAATGTTTTAGCCATGACTATTTTCAGTAGTGCTGTTCTCAGACTTCCTTTTTGTTTTTTTTAAACTTAGTGCTCATGTTTTCAGAGCTTGGAGGAATCCTACATTTTTCTTTCAGGTCTGGAAGAGGGCGAAAGTTAAGTGGAGACCAAATAACTTTGCCAACCACAGTGGATTATTCATCTGTTCCCAAACAGGTAATTGCTTAAGTGGCAGGTCACTTAATCACTTAACGGAGTGATTATACCAGTCCTACAACAGGATTGGTATATATCTTAGAAAGATATAATATCATTACATGTGCTATATAGTATTAAGTATGTATCTTAGCAAGATATAAAAAGACAAGGTCTTATTTGAAGTTAATATTAGCTTGTACCCTGTACTTCTATTCAGCCTGAAGTAGAAGACTGGTCTTCATGGGATGAAGATGCACCTACCAGTGTGAAGATTGAAGGTGGCAATGGTAATGTGGCTGCTCAGCAAAATCCTTTGGAACAAATGGAACCCGATTATTTCAAAGATATGACACCAACTATAAGAAAAACTCAAAAAGTAAGTATTGCACTTTCAACTGTATTTACAGAGGGTTTTCCTTGCTTTAAAATAGACTAAATAAATTGACAGTAAAGTAAAAGTGCTGCTGGTCAAATTAAGCTATCCTATTGAAATGAGAATAGATGCTGATTTTTAGTCTAATGTGTCCAATTAAAAATACTGACTCTTTCAAGTCTTAACAAATATGATGCTAGTTCACAGTTACATTTTTCTGGTCTTAATATTATTGGAAACTTACGAATAATTTCCTAGGCAGAAGGCTCTGGGAACTATAATGTAAGAACCATCAAGTCACTTCAATTCCGAAAATGGAACTGTGCTAATTTATTTGTGCTTTTGAGCAGGATATTTGTGCTTTTGAGCAGAGACATTCCACGTCCTGCTTTACTAAAGTTTGAGGTAGCAGCGTTGCTGTTTCAGAAAACAGTGGTTACTTGATCCACCAAGTCGTATTGGGGAGGCTGGAATTAGGGAGCAGGTATTTCAAAATAGCTTGCTCTTCAAATACCCATTTTTATTATGGAAACAAGACAGAAGGGCGTATCCACAAGAGTATCAACACCATCAATAAATGCTGATTAAACTTCTGGTAACTGAAGTTGTTTCAGTTACGAATTCTGCTTGGTACTTGCAGGGCTTTGGAAAACTTTTTTCACAACAAAGGCAGTCAAGTACTGGAACAGGTTACCAGAGAGAGAGAGATTATGTAGGCTTCATCTCTGGAAGTTTTCAAGACTCCAGTGGATAAGCCCCAAGCACCTTCATCAGCCACAGAGCTAACAGTGCCTTGGGGAGGAGGTTAATTACAGACCTCCGGAGGCCCCTTCCAACCTGAACCTTTCTGTGGTTCTACAAACTGGAGATGATACTTGGGTCGGTTTTCTGTACATTCAGGATCTGCAGTACTCTGTGAGCTAAATTCTTTGAAGGATTTAGGTCTCCCAAAATCCGGGAGGCAGAGGAGGACTGGGAAGAAGTAGATTTCTCCTTTGTATCTAGTACTTTTTTTGCCTGACAGAATGAACTTCAGGTTCAGAACAAAACTCAAAAATTATGTCCTTGTTGTCTGAATACTGTATGCTAGGTTTAGTTTAAATGTATCTTTAGAGTTCACAGCAGGCACTGTAAAGAACATTCCTGCTAACTTGGCCTTGTTAGCACCCTTAAATGTGAGTTTGCATTTGTATTTTCACCAAATCTGAGCTCAGTATAAACCCCCAAGATCTGAGATGGAATCTACTGCTCATATCTATAATGTCTGAAGTGGAACTTCAGTCAGATACCAGAGTCTGCTATTGCTAAATGAGATGGTCTAGACCTGCTTCCTTTCTTGTATTGGTACAGTCAGTGGAACAGTGAAGCTACCTCTTTTGGAAGCAACAGAGGCTTAAAGTACACTGAATGCAATAAGTGAGTGAGTTCGTATTTTGGGTTCAGGACAAGTAAGGGATACATGAACTTGGGAATCATATTAAATTTGCTAATAGCCTCTCAGGAGAAGCATTAGTGCAAATCGGTACAGAACTTACCAGTTGGTGTGATAGTGAATTACGTTGCAGCTATTAAAACTTAAATTGCCTGCACAGATATGCCATTGAAGTAACTAAGAGAGATCATGTTCCAAAACAGTATAGCTGTGCAGACAGCGCTGTCCTCAAGAAGAGTATCTTGGAGTCACCTGCAGGATTTTTCCAAGGAAATATATCATGTACTTGGTAGTTTACAGGAGTACTGGGAGATGTCGTTATTTGTTTTCTAATTCTTTGTGTCGTTTCTCTGTCTTAGTACAGTCATAAATTTCCATGTGACTTACTAAGAAAGAACTGGGGGGAGGAGGGAGTTCTTGTCTTTTGCATTTAGCTTCTCTAACTGATCAGTTCATTTGGCTGTAAAGCTGCCAGAGCCTGAGCAGGTTTGAGAAACACTGTGGTGGTGTGTAGCTATACCATCACCGGTACAGGGCTGTATAACCACCGAGGAATCTGTGCAGTGCTTCGACTTAGAACTTTACATTCCTTTTTTTGAATATTTTCAGATAGTTATTAAAAAACGAGAGCCTTTAAATTTTGGGATTCCAGAGGGAAACACGGGATTCTCCAGCAGATTAGCAGCTACACAAGATATTCCTTTTATTCACCAGTCTGTAAGTATGCTCTAAGTATTGATCTTGTATTTGACAGGTAAATGACTGTTCTGTAGGAAAAGGAAGAGCCTGCCTAACATTCTGCATTGTGGGCAGCAAGAGGAATAGTTATGAAATAATGTAAATTGGTTTAAAATTGAGTATATGGTTCAATACAATAAGGTAGTTAATCTTTCTAACTAATTATTCTGCTGGGCAATTTTACAGATCAGTGATAAAATGGTTAGAAGCTTTTGAACACTTGTATACTTGCAAGTCTTCTAAAGCAACAGACTGTATGTTGTTTGGTCTTAACAACCTGGCTGTTAAGAGGGAAATGCTTTCCTTCCCTTCCCCTTTACTTTCTTTAACTGCGATTCTGCTCTGATTAACACAGTGCACAAAAGAGTCTATGTAGGAAGCAGTACAGAGTGGTCATACCACTCCCTTAGGATATCCTTAGTGAAAATTATTGAGGAAAGGACTTCTATTGAGTAAAAGCAGCACACAAGTGATATTGGACACACAAACATGTGGATATACTTACAGAAATCTTTTACACTATCTACTCATTACATCTGCTCAACTTGTCTTCTTCCTAAAAATACACTCCAGTACTTCCTTCCTTCATTACCCACCAATGGAGTCCAAAAAAACCTCCAACAGTTAACTGGAAAAAGTCAGTATTAGAGCAGGGGAAAAGGCATAGACAATAAGCTGGAAAGTACTGTCATATCTCAAATATTTTTGGAAGTCTGAAGGTGTTTTATTTAATTCTTCTATGTGCTTAGAACTTCTCTCCTTTTATTTCAGCCTGAACTGGGAGACTTGGATACTTGGCAAGAAAATACTAATGCTTGGGAAGAAGAGGAAGATGCTGCCTGGCAGGCAGAAGAAGTTCTTAGGTAACTGAACACCATGGAAACATTTTACATGTAAAAGAAACAAATACAAGTTTGTTTGTACCTTTCTGATAAGTGCTAGGAGTTGTTAAACAGTTCTTAAGACAAATGATTTTTATGCCTCTAATCTCTTGTGTAACTGGTACTTGGCAGAATACATTTTGGATCTAAACTGTTTAGTAGATGGGACAGGGGGAAATCTGAAAATCACTGGAACGTCGGAACAATGCATTAACGCCCCCACCTCCCAAAAAGAAACCTCAACAACGCCCTCCCAACCGTAGCGATTTATTATGTACAAGTAACACGTTTCAACTCGATTAAGGAAAATGCCTTATAAAAGGGATCATAAGCATATGCTGTTAAGGTAAAAATAGTGCAGGATAGAAGGTGAAGCAGTATGTTCTTGAAGTCCCTGCAGGAGCTGTGCTTTTCTAGCTAACTTAGATAAACTAGCTGATAAGGCTTGAATGTAAAACCAGTGTCTTGCACAAAGTTAGCATGAGTACTTCATCTGTTACATTTGTTCTATTTTTTTCCTGTTAAGAGAAGAAAATTTACTTTTTTCAAACAGTAGAATAACACAGGAGGGAAGCCAGCAGCACGTGATGCATTAACAGTAGATAATAGATTCAACCAATTCTAATTCTGTTAACCTTGCTGTGCAACAGCTTAACATGTGAGAAAAAAGTTGTAATGCAGGTATTTTTTTGAACTGCAGCAGGTACCTCTATGTGTACATTTTGGTCAATATCTTGGAGGTTTTCTTAACTTCAGTATGAAACTGTTTCAGGTCTTGTCTTTCACTAATGTATCACAGAAGTACAAGCTTTGTGATATGAATGATGTGCCTTTGGGCTGTTTTTGTTCCAAGGATAGTACCTTTTCCCATAAAGAAGTAAGGTCTTGAATCTCTAAGTGCAGTCTACTAAGACAGACTTAATCTGGGATGCACCAGACAAAGCAAATGGAAGACGACGAAAAATGCTGCTATTTTTTGAACTGAGAAATGAAACAAGTGCTTTTGTTAACTGGAAATGCCACATTGTACTTTACTTGACCTTTGCCACATTCCATTAGAGATGGTTTTAGGATTATGAAAAGAAGTACTCAAACTTTCCAAAGCAGGGAATTGTTCTATACAAATTAGCTCCTAAAAATAATCTAGTGTGTGCATTGTCATTTTATTTCTGGAGTGTAAAATTTGTGTAGTGCATAAGCCCAGGATTGTCAAAGGTATATTGTCTGCCAATTGTCAGGTTAATGCTCTAGAATACTTAGTAAGGGAGATCTCTTACATGGCAACAGCAGTGGGATTTCCCCACAAACTCAATTTTTCAGTGTTGTCTTCTTTGGTTGAAGTTATTCTGAGTATTTCAGCTTGGCATCTTTACTATTGAAAGGCTTCAGCTCAAGTGGTTAATTTTCATAGACTTCCTCCCTGGCCCCACTAAAAAGTATCAGGCTTTATTTGTTTTAGAAGGGGTGTATATGTGTCCAAATATTCCAAGTAAATAGAACATGATTGGAACAGTAACTGTGTTAGATATAACTAGGCCAGCTATGAATGGCCATCTCAGTACAACTGATCATTGTGTAAAGCTGTATCCCAGCTGTGAGAAGCAAAACCTCTGTTTTATTCACAATACATCAGATTACAAAGTTCTTTGTGCAATTGAGGAAAGTGCTTGGCTGATTTTTAGCAAGATTGATAGGAAATGTCTCCTGAGTTTACAGTTTCCCTTCCAGTAGACACCTGTGGTATAATTAACAGCTGATATTTAACATAAAACTTCAGTACAGGACGGGCCTGGCTCTTTTGACTGACTGTAGTAAGGAAGTGATCTGGAGTCTCTTCTTAATGCTACAAGCCTTCATCTTGGTCTACAAATGATCTGAAGATTTCAAACTGCAAAAAAGCCCCCTTAAACTTCCAGTGTTAATGCTGTACTCTAGCCATGCTTACTGAGAATGCAGAAAAAGTAAGGACATCCTTTAGGTAGCTGTGACTGTGTGCCTCTTAGTGCTCAGGTAGATTTCAGAAGTGTCTTAAACTGAAATAATTTTTGTGTACTGATTAATCATGCAAAAATGGGCTGAGGCCTGCTAAACAGCAGAGAAGGCTGCATTCTCTGGCTTCTCTGATCACTTAATGCGTATGTGTAACAGTTGGAATAAGCGTGTATAGTGAGCCAAGTGTTTCCTGGAAGCGTGCTGAAAGACAGTGCTACAGGGTAGGCTGCTAGTGCCTGAAAAATTCCTGCAGTCTGTTTTTGAGGGGTTATTTTTGTTTGTTTGTTTTTTACTCAGCAGCTTCAGCTCTGTGCTGGGATGCACTAAAGTTTTCCTGTCAGTGATGAATCAGCATAAACTGGATTTTCAGTTAATTGAAGTTATTTAGAACTTAGTTTCTTCTGCAAATTGTAGATACCTATCTGCACTAGGTTAGATACCTATCTGCACTACATTAGACTTCCCTAATACCTCTGAAGGTTTGGTTTTGGTGTTGGTTCCCCCCACCCCCCCCATTGTGAACAGTTAAGCTATATGGTGATGCGTTTTTTGTTGTGTTGAAGCAAAAGATCCCATGGTGTGAAATCATTCTTATTACAATCATTCAGAAGATATACAGTAAATAACATACTGGAATAGGAATATTTGCTAACTGTTCTGGTTATAATTTGTGTTCTACTAACCAGTGAGAGGAGTTTGGAGTTTTTTGGGATATAACTTGTGTAAGAAATGCAAAGCAAGGTTTTCATCAGGAATGAATACTTTCCTGGTTTAAACATGCAAGCATTCCATCCGAACTCTGCTGAGCTCCTTGCTTTGGAACCTAGAAAAAGCGAGTCATATGTGGCTACAATTAGTCATAGACTTTTCCTTTATTGAGAAAGGAAACCTTTCTGAGCCTGAAAGGTAGTAACTTTATGTTGAAAACATGAAGGAGGTTTGGAATTTCTATTCAATGTTTTGAATAATGACCAAGTAAAAGAGCAGTGGAAAGGTATCCCTTTGTGGTAAACTAGTAGTTTATATTTTTCCTCTCTCTGAGGTGATGTGAAAGTCTCTTCTCATCTGGCTGTAACTGAAGTCCAGTAAAATTATTCGGCCAGTAGAGGGCATGGAAACCACTCCTCTGTGCAGAGGCGTTCTATTTCATGCAGTTAATGGGGGGAAAAAGAAACATGATCTGCTAGGACTTTCTTCACTTCAGAATTGCAAATAAATAACAGCATTGCTTAACACCTCATGTGGCTTTTTGGAACTCTGCTGTCTCTATGTGCTGGCTGGTGTATGTGGAGCTTCTTTGCTTCTGCATCAGTCAGAGCTGTGGGAAACGTCAAGAAAATCTGCTACTGTAAAGTGGCAAATAGTATTACTCTGCATATGGTAGACTGAAATCACTGTCAACTATCTGACTTTCTGATGGAATATAGGAAAACAGGTCACAATCTCAAAAAAGAAGTTTGGACTGCCATTAATTTGGAGGGTAAACGATAGATTTTGTTCTTCCATGTCAGACACCAGAGCAGCTTGATAGATTATAGGAAGACTTCTAGCCATTAATAATGGAGCTATGAGGATGATTAAGGGACTTGAACATCTCTCTTATGAGGAGAGACTGAGAAAACTGAGGCTCTTTAGCCTTGAAAGGAGATGACTGAGAGGGGAACTTATTAACGTTTATAAATATCTGAAGGATGGATGTCGAGGGGAAGGAGACAATATCTTCTCAGTGGTGCCCAGCAATAGAACAAGAAATAATGGGTTTAAGTTAGAACATGGGAAGTTCCACCTCAACATGAGGAGAAACCTCTTTGCTGTGAGAGTGACAGAGCACTGGCACAGGCTGCCCAGAGAGGTTGTGGAGTCTCCTTCTCTGGAGACTTTCAAAACCCACCTGGATGCGTTCCTGTGTGGCTGCCCTAGGAGATCCTGCTCTGGCAGCAGGCTGGACTAGATGATCCCTAGAGGTACCTTCCAACCCCGAACATACTATGATTCTATCACCATGCTGAAAATTGGATTCCTGTTATTTAGCAATTTGTGTTTTCTTTAATTACAGACAACAGAAGATAGCAGAAAGGGAAAAAAGAGCAGCAGAACAACAACGAAAGAAGATGGAGAAAGAGGCCCAAAGGCTAATGAAAAAGGAACAAAACAAAATTGGTGTAAAACTGTCCTAACAGAAACCAGGCATCAATGGCAGTGCCAGTGAAAAAGAGAATTTCAACTCTACAACATACACATTGGTATTGATTTAAGTATTTCTAGGACTTCAACACACTGCTTGGTTTCAATGCATTCTTCAGGTCATCACGGAAGCCAGGATTCTCCCAAAATATCTTGAACTACTAGTAGGTGGTTCTTAAAGGAGAAGAATACTCCACAGAAAATCATACCTTGATGGAATGATATTTCCTGCAATAGTTCTATTCCAGCACCCTTCTTTGCAGCAAAATGATTGAGCAAGTATGTTGATTGAAAGACAATTTTAATGAACAACTCAAGCCTAGAGATAAGAATGTAAATATTCAGTGGTGGGAAATCTACTGTATTGTCTGTGCTTACCTGAAACATGTAATTAAACAGTTTTAAAGAACCCTTTGCTTCCTGCCTGATAAAGAATGTCTGCTTTTGCCTTTTTATTTATAAATACTTAAGCATTTTCCATGGCAGATCATGTTGACATGAAGAAGAAGAAAAGAAATTATTTCATGGCAGAAGAAAAGTACTTGTTATGAATGACCTGCAAGTCCAAATGTACTCCTGGTAGATCTTGCTATGGTGGAGCACAAGTTGCGGGGAGACACTGAAGTGGATTTCTTGGCACTTTACTTGCAGCTTCCTGTGCTACCACACCTGTTTACATGAGACGCTGTAGTGGCTGCCAGCAGTGGCATCACCGCACAACAGTGGTCCATGCCGCTTCTTTCTCATGAAAGTTGATAGTTATGAATGTAGAGGAGTGATTTAGTCACTTACTTGTATTCGTAAATTTGTATTTCTGGCAGAAATATTTCTACTTTCTACAGTTAGAGAAAAGAAAATCCTCACACCTTACGCTCATAGGTAGTCTATTTGAAAAAAAAAATAGTGTCTTCCTGTTAATAAATCTAGTGTGAAAATTCTCATTTCAGCTAACAGCACTTCTGAAATTCCATTTTTTGTACACTTTATATATTTACACTGGAATTCCCCTGGTAAAGTGTGTGCGGTAAATACGCAGAGGAAGGCAACAGTGCTTAATAAAGAAGAAAAGTTTAATGTCTGCTGGAAGGAAAGGTGTGTGGTAGGAGGGGAGTCGGTGTGGTTCTGATGTTCAGCTCTGAGCCTCAGCGGATACTTTCTCCATCTTCTGTTGTGTGGATGCCGTTATCCCCGAGTTCATGGGTTGTCTGGATTTCTTGTCTTGAGACAGGTGAGTGAAGACTGCAAATTCTGTGCCTGAGACTTGTTCCCTTTGCACACAGGGAACAGTAAAGTTCCAGAAGAGTGGAAAAGGGTGGGGGCTTACCTGCTAGATCATGACTGCCTAGAAAAATAGGATTTTTGACTAAGTTGTAGTAGGTTCTGACACAAGTTCTGCTTAAAAGATAAGGAATTGAGAGAAGACAGTAAGGATTAACTGTGATGGCCTTAGTAATACAGAAAGTTTTTAAAAATGTTTGGAATGCTTGTCATGATGCATAAAATCTTGCACAAGTCAACTGATTTGACAGCAATTTTTGAATATGAAAGTGAGTCTGAGAAATGTTAAATTTTAGAATACATTTTGGAAAGCAACAATAACCACTCTTTCATATTTTATGCACAAGTGTCCTGGCTGGAATGGAATGGATGACTACAGTCTGTGCAAACTAACATCAGTATGGCAAGGAAACCTGCTCCTACACACCGCAAGTGTCGGACAGTGGGTGGGAGATAAGGAGAAGCTTTTAACCACGCTGATAAAGTGAGGAAGTACAAGTACTAATTGTTCCATTATTGCTGACACAGGGCAGGGAAACCTAGTTTTTATTGCCTATTTAAAGTAAAACCTGTTGGAAACTACATCTCATCTTTTTTAAAAAGTTTAGTGCTTGCTATTGCCATGTCTGAGACGTAGCTTGTTTTCTTTCCCTCATGCTGCTATAGGCTCCTCCTTTCTCCTCTCATACCTTGGCCTGGACTTTTATCAGGAATGTGATGGGCACTCTGTCACCTCTCATAGTTAAATGCCTTACGAGAGCTGAGCAGACTGAAAGATTTATAAGAGCAGGAAGCAACTTTGATGTTATTCAGTGTTATCGCCTGATGTCTTAAAAAGCATGTTTAAAAACACTGCTGCTGAATGGAGCCTGCCCAAAACATGGATTGAAATTAGTTCTGTCTGTTTTAAATTTTAAATCAAAGCGTAGGTTTGTTCGGCTTTGTTGCCTCTTGCTGCAAAGGAAACCTGTGTAAGTCATATGTAAATGTTTCTCCTAGAACTGAAGATGACTTTGTCTTTGAAATTACGTTCCATTTCATCACCCCACCAAGTGAAGATTGCTTAAAACAGTAGTGGCTGTAAAAAAGAAATCCAAAATTACAATAGAGTGCGTAATTTGGTATAACATATTGCTCTGTTCGCCTTGAACAGGCATACTTTGAAGCAGGAATAAGGCATCTTCTGTAGTGTCTTCCAGTCCCAAGAGAAAATATCTAGGAATGATAGAATTTTGTGGCTGTGTAAAATTTATATTAAGCACCCCAACTACTGATTTTGGCCCTAGTGTCCATGTAATTAAAAAGCTGTTGAAAGTGCTGGTTGAGCAGTCTGTTTTGCAGTGGTGTCTCAAGGAGGCCGCTGGCCTGCTGCCATGGCGTGGGCCCAGCCAGCACAAGGCACCACGTATGTGGTCACTCACTCACTCATCCCTGCTCCCCGAGGGGGTGGCGAGGAGAAAATACAGACAAAGGCTCGAGGGTTGAGACAAGAATAGGGAGGGATCACTGACTAGTTACAGACATGGGCAAAACTGACTGGACTTGGGGGAAGAAAAAAATAAATTCATTTGCTACCAATGGGGTCAGAGCAGGATAATGAAAAATAAAACCGAATCTCAAAACACCTACCCCCCATCCCTCCCTTCTTTCTAGGATCAGCTTTGATCCCAGTTTTCTTTTACTTCCTCCCCCACAGCAGTGCAAGGGATGGGGACTGGGGCTTGTGGTCAGTGTGTGACACCTGGTCTCTGCTGCTCCCTCAGGGAGGATTCCTCACCCTCTTCCCCTTGCTCCAGCATGGTGTCCCTTCCACCAGAGACAGTTCTCCTTGAACTCTCTGAGTTCTTCCCGCAGGCTGCAGTTCTTCAAGAAGCCAGAAAGTCTTCAAATACATGATGGGTGAGAAAGGGCAGAAGGCTTGAAATAGTCAAATGAAGTGGTTGTACTAAAGTCAGGATAAAGCCTTAGAAACGTTGAGAACTAAGAAGGTCCTGGCATGCTCTGTTACCGCTGAATGTGCAGATGTCACATTTAAACCCAGCCTGCACATAAGCATACAGAGCTGGTTAACTTCTTAAAAAGATAACTCCCTTCCAAAAAAAATAAAAATAATGTCATTGCTCAGAAATGTTTATCTACTGCTGCTAAAATAATGGAAGTTTCACCTACACAGATGCAACCCGTAGTCATTTTTATGTCCACCTTTTCAGCTCTTCTGAAAAGGGATGTCTATATTTGATTAGCAGAGGGGCTGACAGCCCTCTTCACCAGCACAAGCTCAGGATTCCCTCAGTCACAGTCTCCTTTGGGCACCCACCTGTTCCAGCATGCGGCCCTCCTTGGTCTGTAGGTGGATATCTGCTCCACGATTAACTTCCATGGACTGTATGGAGACAGCCTGCCTGACCATAATCTTCACCATGGGCTGCAGGGGAATTTCTGTTCCAAGGGCTGGTGCACATCCTCCCCCTCCATTCTTCACTGATCTTGGTTCTTTTACATCCCACACCTCAGCTCCCCAAAACTTGCCCAGCAGATTTTCCTCCTCTTAAATATATTGAGGCACTACTACTGTCACTGATAGGCTCAGTCATGGTCAGAGGTGGGTCTGACTTGGAGCTGGAGAAGGTTCTAGAAGCTTTTCATAGAAGCCAGCCCTGCAGTCTCTCCCCCGCTACCAGAACTTGGCCACATAAATCCAATACACATGCAGGAACCCAAGAAGGCAGGAGAGCATGAAAGCGGAAGTTACTGGCAAAGAAAGCAAGATGCTCTCATGGTCGTCACTGGGAATTCTTGAGGGCTACATTACATCAAATTGCCTGTTAAATCTCTCTGCCTTAATATGATGCTTAATGAACCCTCTCGAATCTTTGTTACGAACAATGCAGAACCCAGGCATCACAGGGATGTGAAAGGGCAGTTCCCCACATGATGACCAAGAATTCCTCCTGCTTTGTGGCTTCCCAAAGGTTGCAGAGCAATGCGTGGCACTGTCAGGTGTCACTAGACTGCTGCTGCTCTGGATTGCTTAGGGAAATACTACACTCACTTTGCTAAAGGAGAAAACCAGAGACTAGTGAGATAGAAATGGCCAGAGGTTGAAAGCTTGGGTGGAGCCAGGCAAACTCCACTGTTTCACATGTTGGGTAGTGTTACCTTCCACTTATCTACGCACAGATCTCAAGTTTTGGGCATGGAGAATTCATGGTTTGATGGTCCTAGTTGCACATCAAGCCTGTAGGAATCTCAGCTGGGTTAAAAAAAGCCTTCTGGACCTCTGTTAAATGCCAGGAAGACTGATACTTTTCTAGGAGTGCGGCAGATGAGGTTAGAAGTTTCCAGAAGATTGCATTGGGTTGAAGATTAGTTCACTTGCATCTGTTAATGCAGCATGGATGTTGGGCATGTCTGCAGACTGACTGGAGCCTTTTTTAACTGTCCGAGTGACTGGAGCTGTACTTGAGTTTGCTCAATCTAACTGTATTCTTTGGGTCCTGATGATTCCTTAGACCAAGATACAGTGCCTCCAAGATACAGTGCCATTGGCCTGTGGCTGACATTGCAGCTGAGTTGGGGTATTTTTATAGCTTTGCTACAATAAAACACTCAATCGTTTGACGTTTCTAACATGCTTTACTGAACTTGTGATTATAAAGGTAATTTACAATAAAACAATTAAATAAACAATAAGTTAAAACACAAATACATTTATACATAGTATTTCAAAGGGCTCAAAAGGATTAAAACAACATTAAGATTCAAAGTGTATCCACGCCTATACTTATCATCGTAACAAGTTTCAAGACTCCCAACAACGTACACTTTTGGTTACAGTCCCCGTATACGCACAAGACCAGTGAAATGCTCGAGCAATTGTACGATTGAGAAGAGCACTACACGAGACAGGCACGAACGATGTGCTTGGAAGCTGCCTGGGGAATATGGGTTTTACCTCTAAATTGAATTGACACTTCGGACAACAAAAGGAAAGCGCTAGCATGCTTTCTGGAGCACATGGGTGATACGTTTAGTGGGAACAGGTCTCCATGTCACTTACTTGATGCTGTAGTTTAACAAATGTTTTAGGTTAGTGCTGCCTAAAGAAATACCCCACCTTTCTCTGGCCATTTGTCCCTGTGCACATCTCATGCTACCCTCAAGCCAGCACAAAGCGCTTCTACATTTGCTCAGTGAACCAGCCAGGGAAAGTGACTGAGCTTAACACTAATTCAGATAAAAAACCGTGAACGAGCGCTAGCTATCGTTTTGCTTGATTCGCCTGGGTATGTTCACTGTGCAGATGTGCTGGCACCAGAAAGATGCCAGCAAAGGGGAGGGGCACAGTGCCTGGGAATTGGGGAACTATTTCTGGAGGCAGCAGTACTGCTAAAAACACCAGTTAAAAACATCTTGTGGAACTACAGGGTTCAACTATTTTGTTTTAAATCAAGGAACATGTTTTCAAAACAATTTATAGTGCAAATCAAATAGTCGAAAAGCAAAATGATAGACTCTGCCAGAATATACAATAACTTTTTACGATCTCTCTCATCCCTCTTTCTCTCTACCTCAGCCAGTCGGTGCCCAGGGAGAGGACTTTAGGTTTTGATACTGAAGGATGTACGCCGTAAAGAGTGCAGGGCCACCAGGCAGCAACCACGAAGCAATGATCCAATATTGTAAATGGGATCTATTCCTCCTTTCTGAGTACTGAAAGCCCACATGAGAGTTGGTACAACAGGGGCTGCTACAGCCAAGACATCTCTGAGGAGACTGCTGCTCCAGTATCTCCTCTTGGTTCCTATCTGAGAGCAAGTATTGACATACTCAAAGGCTTCATAATCATGAGATTCCATAAAATCAAGTTCTTTCATGAAACGGTTTTCATTAACTCTGTGCTCTACCTTCCTACATGGAGACTCCATAGGAGACAAAAGAATGGCAGAGTTTGGATCACTTGGAGTTAAGTCCACTATAATACCAGAATCACTGAAGCTTCCAAGAGAAAATTCACCCAACTCCTTCAGTGAAGAAGGTGGGCTTAGAGGACAGGCATCCTGAGCTCTGAAGATGTTTTGAATGAGCTGCTCCACATCTAGGCTGTATGGCACCACATCAGTCTGGACGGCCTGTTCCACCATCATGTTTTCCTCCTTCTCCTTTGAAGTTAGTGTTCCATCCAGATAACTTTCTGGCATCTCTTCATTCACAGCAGAACTAGAGGGAGCCGTATCACTCAACTCAGAGGACATGATGGTCAGATTCTCTTTAGGCAAACCAGACCTGTCACCTGTGTCCTCATTAAGCAGCAGCCCACTATCTGCCACCTCCTCCAGAGCTTGGTCCTCTGTGATAAGGCTGTCTGGCATCATGGCACAGAATGCTGTCAGCTTCTCCTCTGAGTCATATGCGCACTCCAGGCACTGCTCATCCCTCACAGAGCTGTTCTGAGCCATCTCCATGTTCTGCAGCAAAGATTCCAGTTTCTTGTTTTGAATGTTTATGTCTGTGAAATACTTCTCAATTTTTTTGTCTTTCTCAGCCAAGTTGCTTTTCATGTTTTCAATGACCTGCTTGAGCTGTTTAATTTCGCTTCTTGCTTCCTTTAAGGCCAGCTCTGCTTCCACACGATTACACTCTTCTTCAATCCAGTCTTCCCTCATCCGTCCCAGCTGAGCTTTGAGCTCCTCTATTTCTGTTTCCCTGTAGCAAAATAAAAATGTTGTGATGTTTCTGCTGACTGGTCAGTTAAAGAATCAACAAAAGATTCTAGCACACTGGAGTGGCTATGCTGCCCTTGGACATTGTGATGGCTCGGGGCTGCAGGCACCTGTCATGCTTTGCCCAGCGTGGAGCCACAGGCTTGCATGCAAGTGGCAAGAGGGGTACCCTCCATGAGATCCAGCCCTTGCAGATGCAGAGGTCTGGCTATCTGAGGTGGACCATGGGGTCCCTAGGACTCTGTTTTGGGGCTCCATTCAAACACTTCTTTGTGCCTGCTTGGTTTATGTGTGCTGGAGAGCCAGCTTTCAGAGCGTGGTTTTAGTAAAAGAGATGACATCCATTACTGTGTAATGCACATTGTCACTTCCTCACTCAGCATCCATACAAAGGGCTATTGTGAAAAATTCAGTATCAAAAACACAAGTGGGCACATCAGTTTGTGTTAGAGGTTTTCTTTCATTAGGGGAGAAGGGGTCATTTATAGTCATATTTCTCTGAGAGAGGCAGAACTAGAGACTAAGGTAATATATGCTGCCAGATAGAAATTGTTTTATGTATAAAAGGTCTCAATGCTAAATCAGACTGATAAAAATTATCTTTTAAAATATTCTATTGGGAAAGTTCAAAAAAAGGGAAAAGAGTCAACCATATTCATAACTAAAGCGCATGGCACATATTCACTGAACATGCTACGAAACATGAAATACCTGAAAACAACCTAATCAGACTGATCACATTTCAAATGTCGTAATGAACAATTTATGCGGTCAAGAGATTATTGAAAATGTTCAAGATTCCCACCCACAAATGCTCCTGAATAAATCTTTCTAAATCTGATTTCTGTAGTGAAACATACCTTTCTTTAAGTTTGCTCTCAGATTCCTTCAGCTTTGTTTTCAAATGCCGAACTGTAACTTCCTTCTGCTGCAGAGGAGTCAAATACTGCTCAGGATTTTGTGGCTTAATGCTGTGATTGTCACCACAAGAACTGAATCTCCCTGATCGCCTGAAAAGGCAAAAAACAAACCATCACATAACATCACTCACACAGTCCTTCAGTCCTGGCAAAATGAAAAACATCCCATTGACTGCTACAAAGCTGACTCATTGGGGGCTCCTCAGTGTCCGCACCAGTGACTCCCTCTGACAAATCAAAGTACTCACGGAAGCCGACTTGTGGCTATTTACAGTACTTGGTTTCAGTGCCAGTACCTCAAATGAGACATTCAACTTTGAAATACCTAGCCACCCCCTCACCTGAAATGAGTGGCGAGCCCAAAAGCAGGCAGACACTGGCAAAAGCACCCAGCTGTAGACATGGCCAGGCGAGATAGTGTGGCACCGAGTTCAGCTCCACATGTGAGTTATGAAGCTGAGCACCCTGAAACCTAGATTCATCCTATCTAGCTTTAGGTGTGTATCTGACATGCTTGGATATTGAATTGCCTGAGAGAGAGGGGAACAGCAGCAGCATGGCAGCAATTTCTTCTCTGCAGGATGTGTTGAACGCTCTGGCAGGTATCTGTGTTCTGTCCTGTACAGGAAACTGCACAGGGAGGTGCCCAAGGCTGGGCCGGGTGAATTTTTGCCTGAGTGCATAATGTTTTTTATACTACCCCACCCAACCCTCTCCAAAGCAAAATGACTCTGAGATGAAAGAACCAGTAAATCCCCATGAGAACTGATGGCATGAAACCACATGAAGGAGCCTGCCTTGGAGTGGAAACCAAAGAGCTTTGACTAGAAGTAACCTTGAATTCCACAGTGCTGAAAAAATAAAGCTTTTACATGGGATGGAGCATCCTCTTGAGCCACCAATATGAGGAGTCACATCTACACTGAGGAGCAAGCAACCTGCTTGGCAACCCGGACAGCTGATCCCACGTTACAGTGCAAAGAAGGTAAGTCAATGCGCTGAACACAGGGATGCCGAAATAAAGACTTGCCTCATCACTGGGCTGCTGTCGCTCCCTTTGTATGAGCCTGAGTTGCTGCTGCTGACTGAAGAAGCCCTGTAACACTGATGGATGTTAGCAGGACTCGGCTGGTTTTTGCCCAGTGTTGACAAATGATCCTTTTCACGGGAAGCAGGTGGGCTGGCTCCAGACTTGTAGGATAAGGATCCATTATTCCGACCATAAGGGCCACGACTGGAGGGGAACCAAAATAGTTAAAGCATATTGGATTATGCTCATCACGCAACTCATTATGCGTCTTATTTTATACACAAAGTCATCTAAACACTAAACCAGATAGATAACTGTGAGTGGCCAGGAAGAAAGAAAGTCCTGAAGTCATCAGCCGCTGCATGTTATTTCATTGGCTGTGGGGTGCTCAGTCTAAACTATGTGATCTAGGGAAACCTCGGCCATTTTCACATTTCTCTGTGAGTAGCACAGACAATAGTTCCCAGTGATTCCTTTAGATTGCCTACATTCCCTGAACCTCTGACTCCAGTAAGTTATGAGAGGACTGCTGCCTGGGCTGGTGCCAGAAGAACCACGTTTCATCTTTCCCTGGCCAGGCCTGCAGAGATGTCTGTCCATGGAGCTTTGCTGTAAGACTGCTTTCATGCTCCCCCACAAGCAGCCTGAGGGATCACAGCGTGCAGTGAAAACAGATTTTGTTTGAGCCACTGTCCTTTTCTGCCTTTGGCATACTGGGTGCTTCAGCTGTCACTGTCAGCTATTCATTCGCTTAGATACAGTTTGAACCCCATTGAGAGCAGGCTGAAATAGCATTAAAATAGACAAAGGAAAGTACAGCCTTTTCTTTCTTCCTTCCAGCCTCCCTCATACATATCTACCTTTCTCTCTCCACTCTTTATTAAATAATCTGACTGTCAACCGCGTGTGCTTGAAAGCAATTCAGATCTGTGCTGCCTGACAGCTGCCAGAGGGCTGAGGTGCTCTGAGGACAGTTTCTCGGGGTGTGTTCCTCGCTGGCTCACTTGGTTTGCCTGCCTCCACTACTATGCTGCTACCTTTGTCATCCCATGGAAGTTGTTCTTCTCAACAGTAATGAAAGGGCAGGTTTCAAAAAAACACGGAAAAAAGCAAATCCAGCCAGGAAAAGAGAAAGCTTGAACATAAACATTTAAATACCACAGAATTATGAAGCAAAATATCTCCTTAAAATTGTCTGACTTGGTTTCCTCCCTTCTCTGAAAATGGAACACTTTATAAGGAACAGATGGTTGAGTGGCTGCTGCAAACCTTCATCACACTGCTGTGGTTTGGGTGATTTTATAATTATTTTACAATGAAGTGCAGGACCACGCTTTGTGACAACACTGAAATGTTTCACAGTGAGTCTCGTTAAGTCAAATGGTTAAAAAAGAGCATATTGCAAAGGAGACATCTCCTTCCATTTTGTACAGTACAGCATCAACGCTGGTGTGAGGAAGAACTTGCATGGACTGTACATAACACAGCAATGCATCTGAAGGAGCCTTATTACAGAGGAATTCTGTCCAATTAAGTAGGTCGGTATGCTCTCATTTCAAGATGTATTTAAATGTACAATAATATATAAAATGATACATAATCTTACTGAAAGTAAAGTGATTTTAGGGTTTCACATTATACTTTGTACTGCTTTTCCCCGCAGCCAGTAACTTTGTTAAATTTAATCTAGAGAGAGCTTAAGTAATGTTCATTTTTCTAACAGTCTCACGATACAGACAGGAAACCACTCACGAAGCATCACTCTGGCCATCTCTGTGTGCTGGGGCGCACCGTGACCGATGAAACGTCGGTGTGGCTCAGGCATACAGGCACCCCACTGCTCGCCCCAGCCTGCCTGCCAGCTCTGCCACAGAGGGCAGGAAACCAGCCCTGTCAGCTCCAACTCTTTCCACCTACTCCAAAAAATGGAACCAGCAGGGATTGCGTGGGCAGAGCACAAGGTGAGCTGCTCCATCCCAACGCCCCTGTCTTCGCAAGCTGTCTGGATTTGCACTTCACACACAATAGGGAGAAATCTTACAGAAATCTTTCATGACAGGGTCATTTAGATGACCGTGATAATATTTTTTGATTTGCGTATAGCTTCAGTTATATGAAGGTTGAATAAGGGTGTTTAAGAAAAAAAAACATGTCAAAGGCAATATGGTCTGCTTCTTCCTGCAAAAAATGAGGTCATGATCTTGAAAAGTACATGCAGAGCTGAGAATTTATTACAGAGAGAAAACAGAGGGATAAGGCCAAAAGGTTAAAGTTAACTGGTTAAAATTACTACTGTTAACTAACATGCACCCAGTTCTTTCCTCTTTCACTCCAGTTCATGCCTTTTCTGCCTTACCTGATTCTATCTCCCACACTTGTTATGAATAAACAACAAAAAAATACCAGTCAGCTGATCTGACATACTGGCAATTTTTGTGCTCCAAATACAAGGAGTTTTTTAACTTTCTCATATCACAGTTCTCATCTCAGTGTGAGTGCTGCCTGAGACCATAATGTTACCCAAATTATTTTAAATCTCACAATACTGGTATTGTATATATTAACTACAGGACCTTACACAGTAGTCTATGCTAGCAACACTTGCAATACTCAGGAAAAAATTGCTTTGCTTACTTGCGAGAAAAAGAAGATCTTTTGCTTCCAGCAGCAGACATATGGACTTCAGGCGCTGAAATACTGCCTGTGCTGCTTGAAGAGCTAAAATCAGCTTCACTCCCTGGAAATGGGAAGAGTGAAAACATGATGGAAATTATAACTCAAAGACTGTTTTCAAAATAACAATGAATCACAAGCATCCTTCCTTTGTCCGTCCTGTGTGAATTTCAGAAGTTGCACGAATTGTCAAACATCCCTGAGGACAAGCGCTGGATTTGTTCCAGATTTTCAGCATTTCTTCAGCACTGGCACTTCAGCAAGAGCAGAAAAAACATTTGGACATGAAGCCCTCACGCCACAGAAGCCATTTTAGGACTCGCCTAGGAACATTTGTTGTGACAACCTGTTTGCTTTCTCACAGCCATCGATAGATGAATGAGGCTGCTCACGTGGCTCCTTCAGGAGCCCAGTGATTAGGAGCACACAAGAGTAACTGGAGATTTGCTTTAAACCACAGGAAAATACTACTTGCTAGGAGGAAAGCTGCTTCTGTTTTGGTTCCCAAGACAATGCCCACACACATGTATGTAAGTGTAAATGTGTACAGGCTAATAGGGTTTATGCATATATATTTGTACACATGTATGAAGGTTCTCCTGTGGTGTACAAGCATAGTAAGGCAGTTCTAATAGCCTTAAAATAAGCCAATAATCACATGTGGCTCTCAAGCGCTTCTGGGATGCCAAGCCATCTATCTGATTGCTGGCTTCCTATGAATCACAGCTTCTATTTCCCAAGCTCTGGCATATACAAAGAAAACTGCTCTCATTTTGCTAAGGTCAGCAGTAGGGAGATCTACTAAGAGAGGCTTATCATCTGGAAAAAAAATGCAGATTTTTCTTCAGTCTGTCACTCAAATGGCAAATGTCCCAAGTCATACCCAGAGCCACACTAATGGATGGTGACTTTATCCGAGGGGATGGAAATCACTTTCCAAAAGCCTTTAAGTGGCCAGTCAGGGGAGTATCTCTCACCTGAGAATTTCTGGGTGCCATCCCACGAACAGACACTCTTGGCCAGTGGCTGCAGACTTATCACTGATCCCATTTTTGCTATCTTTTCCACGAGGGGGAGATGCAGCTGCAGTTATCATCATCCCTACCACGGGCAGATAAAACATCAGCTACTCTACCTCTCTTAAATCCTTCGCAGAGCTGATGGTGATGGGCACACCTTGCACTCCCCAACACCCTGGACTGGGAAAAGCTCTTGCTGAAAAGGCCTGTGTCTCCCCACCCCTAAAGAGGATGAGACATCCAGCAACCATCCTCACTATCCAGCAACTTTCAGCAGCCAGCCCTCGGTTCAGATGTGTTTGGATTTAACCCAATATTTTCCTAACCTCACCAGATCTGAGACCAGTTCCTGTTTCTCTGTCCTTCTGGTTCAGCCTAGCCCATAATATTCCTCAGTACAATTTCAAAATGCTCAAATGCAAGGCTTAGGCTTTCAAAAGGGTATGCCCGGGACTCAGCTTTATCACCTCTAACCAACACCATGCCCAGTACAAGACCCCTGATAACTGGACCCAAGTCACCACAGCTGTAACCAGATGAGAATCCCAGGCAAGTTTGCCAGGGGAGGGGGAAGAACAGCAAAGCCACGTTGCTTCAGAGTATTTATATCACGTCTACAGATGTAGATGTCAGTGACCCTCTCCTCAGGGAAGCAAAATGACCGTGGGACATGATGGCCAAAACTGCAACAGAGTTTTCCTGATAAACAAAACACTCCGATCTACAAGACTAAAAGTACACTCTGAATATCGTCTCAGTACCACAGTACTCCCAAATCTACTTTTCCAAACAAGACCCGAGTAGGTAAACCCATCGCACGGCTATCATACCTCTGGTGTTGGGGCCCCCAAAGCATTCATGCCCTTGCAAGATGCCAACAGCTTTCCAAAGGCACGTCCTGGCTGCAGCACACAGAACAGGAGCCCTAGCTGAGGAGGCTTATCTCCGCTTAACTAGACCACATCATAATCAGATCTCGCTATCGAAAGCATTTCAAGGAAGCAAGGCTTAATAATCACCTCTCCCTGACCTGCCCGGCTTGGAGTGCAGTGCTGGGAAGGGCTGCCAAGCCCTGCTGGTAAGAGTCAGCAGAACCTGAAAACACAATCACCTCAAACCTGAGATTTCTGAAACATCGAACTGCATCTGAGACCAAGAACTGTGACTGCAAAGCATGAATTCACCTGTCTGGCCTCAATTCTGGTAACAGCTGCACACAAGCTTAACACTGAGCACAGGAGACTACTTACGCTTAAAATTAGGCATGTGGCTATTTATAGGATCTTCGAGAACATTTTATAAATTAAAGGGGTCAGTTCTAGTATCGTTTCCAAGTGTGTTAGTGATGTTCAAGCCAGCTCTGCATTTAGCAGAGCTTGACAGCAATGTTACTAGGAGACTTTAAAAAATATTTTCTCCCATTTGGTGGACATCTCTAAGGAAAACAACATGGCATCTATCCATATATCAACTGAAACATATTCTCCTGGGCAAGTGTGCCTTCTGTCTTATGACTGTCTTAACAAAGAGATGAAACTCCTTGCTTAGCAGCAATGTGGGCAGGAGCTGAACACAGCCTTTCATCTCTCCTAACACCATTCTCCAGGCTGACAGCTCCCTAAGGATGCCTGTTGACTATTTTTGTCTCTGTGACAACAGGATTGCAAATGGTCACACATGTAAGCCCCAGAGCAGCCCGACAATTCACTGTCGTTAACCAAGAGAGAGGCTGACATTTCTCAAAAACATATTCTTTTGTCCTAACTAGCCAAAACACTTGTTTTGCCCTGATCTCAGACTTCCCTGTTAAGAGGACTGTCTTACCCACCCTTTCCTGCAAAAGACGCTGGACGTTGAGCTGCCAGCTTGAGTGGTATCTCATAAGAAATTCACTTACATTCTTCCAGCCACTCAGAGTCACAGTACCAACAGCCAGCCAGCAGGTGAGCTGATGGAAATGCTTGTGCCACATGAACAGCACCCCACACTGGGAAGCTCTGGCTTCCTCTGCCTCGCAGTGGGCTCCAAGCAGCAGCACGCCCACAGCATGGGAGCGGAGCTGTGCACTGCTTTGTGCAATGGGAAGAAAAACACAAGGATGGCCAACAAAGTACTGTAACATTTTCCAGGATTGCTCCTTGCCTGGAACGGGTACCGAGAAGCAGCAGGGAAATTGTACAGCCTCTAGTACTGGCCCCGCAATTTACTGGTCGATGGGCACCAGCACGGAGTTGAGAGCATGCAGCGGTCAGCATCACGCTTTGTGCTGCCTTTTTAGCCTTTTTACTGCCCTGACAGCACACTGACAGACACCCAGCTCCAGCTGACACGGAGGAGAGGAGAAGGGAGTCTGCAACCTTGTGACATGGGGGCACAACCCAGGCAGAGGCTGAGAAGGCAGTGAAGGTCTGTCAGATGTGTGTGCTTATCTGCGCTGTGGGTCGAGGACCAAATCTCAGTGAGGCAACACCGTCCTGCTGCAACATGGGAATCAACTGGGAAACCTCCTGCTGATTACTCATCAGCCAATTTCCCATCCTGCCTGTGATGCAATCACAGATTTGGGGGTGGGATTGAGAAGAGGGACAACAAGCTGTCTGTGCAAAAGCAGGTACGTCTCCAGCTGGCACTGGTGTGTCCTTATTGCACTCATGAAGTGCAGCCAACACACCTACATTTTGGCTGCAGAAAAGCCCCACCTTCAACTCTGCTCTCCACACTGTCTCAGTCATAGAGCCGGGATAATGACCCAGTACAGTCACCATATCACACACTGCAGTCACAGCTTTTGCAGGTAGAACAGACTAGGTACACAAACACAGAAACACCATGTCATGTATGTATATATGTATATAAAGACAGTATATATATTTCTTACACATAGTCACACAATAACCTCACATGCATGCCTGGAGTACAGCTTACCATACTTCCTGGCCTCCATATTCAAATTTTGCTTGTATTTTAGCATTTAAGCTTTTTCCAAAAGCTCAAACTTTCTCGTGTGCATTTTACTGTCCACTTGCTATCTAAATACTAAGATCACAATATGGAAAAAAGGAAAAAGCTCAAGTGGTATTTGTGACAGGAATCTTGACAGCTAAGCAGCAGAGATGAATTCCCACAACTCAGGATGCATATGAGTGTATTAAAATTTAGGGTTTTTGTGCAAGTACTTCTTATTTGCCACTTCATCACTGTTTCATAGCTGCCAAAGTACATAAATCACGGAACTTACCTATCTTCTGACTCCACGAACATGAACACTTTAAACCTATCAGTCTTAATGCCAGATTTTGCATATAGCCACACAGTGAAACAGAGCTGTAAATAAAACAGTGCTGACAGAGACAGCTTGTCCTCAAAATGTAAAGCACTTAAATTTGCTGAGCTTCCTTGCCTTCAAAAGCTTCCTGTTACATAGCAAAGAGACCAAAATACGCATATATGTTCCCCACTCCGGTGCAACACGTAGAAGAGTAAGTGGCATGCTGTAGACAGCTTTATTTAGAGACCCCAGAGGAAGACATATGGCCTGACTGCGTAAAACACTCCAGCAAAACCACTAGGAGGAGCTGGAAAAGTTGAGAGAATTCAGTTGTAATGCCCACTATTGAAAGGACCTGTATTTTTAAGAGACTTGGGTTTATTTGTCTTGAAACCTTTAACTCATAGCTACATCTCTAGTTCCAATTTTTAATAGCATAAGCAGTATATTTCCAGGAAACACTAATGCTGCTTCTTTTCTATTTAATATGGGGTTGTTCTTGCAAGGCTGTTTTTGTAGACCGCAAGAAATCTAGGAAAGAAAACCACGTTGCTCACATGCACTGACAAATGTTAGAAAAAGAAGTGATTAAGTCTTATTTTAGCATTTCAAGCTTTTCTTCAGATAATTCCTTTAAAAATGACCCATTTCAGAGGCGAGTCTCCTCGTGGGAAGTGTGCTCAATTCACAGCCAAGCCCGTAATTGACAGTGGGTTTGGGTTCCAGTCCCTGGCCTTTTGACTTATTCCTTTTTTGACTTGCTGAAACTCTTATCTTGGACTTACTATTGTATTTCACACCATGCAGTAACTGAGTGAAAGCAGATACAGTCCTGGGAGCAAGGAACACGACAGAGGACTCTCCTCCACATGGCCTGCTCTAGTCTTTGGGTGACACAAGCTGCTCCCACATGCTCTACCTCTGCCCATGGCTCACACTCTCCATTACCATGAGGTCTAGAGCCAGGGGAGGAACCTGAGGATGCTCAGTAGGTCGCAGTGGTTCAGGAATACATAGGAGAAGTGTGGATTTGAACTTTTGTCTAAGGAGGGCACTGAACTCCCACCTTTTGCCCAAGCTGTGACACAAAAAACCATACTGGTTGCATTCACTTACAGTGACGGTCTAGCTCTCCTACAGAGGTTCAGAGTGAATGTGAGGCACACACATGGGCACGCTCAAGACTAAGTCTGGGAGATGGGCACTGTTCTCTGGCATCTTCTACAGACTGGTGGAGGTGTGTTCGTGCCTGGTATGTCCTTTGCTGTGAATCCTGGATTTAAATACCTGACCATCCCCTCTTACTTAATGTGCAGTTTAATCACCCAGCTCAGATTCGTAAGGTGAGCTCCCAGAACGACAGTGAGAAGCTGGGCACAGCAATGTCTGGCATCGCCAATCCTGAGGGTACCAACAGGCAGCGCCTCCCCTACCCACTGCGCTGGCCTATGAAGCCATCACCCCCCACTGCTGGGTGAACACCCACCAAATTGCTTGCCAGTGCTCGCTCATCAGACAGATCTGTTAATTACGTTTCAGCTGACTGCACGGTGCAGTAACAGCTGCTAACTTGGGGAGCTGGCAAAGATACAGTCAGAGGGGATGTGGAGCAAAACTTTCACCGTGACTCTCCATAAATTGCTTAAATGTGCTGCGTGAGGAGATTCCCAGCTCAATACCAGATGGAAGACTCTGGGGAAGAACCGCAATTCAGATCCTGATTCCCCGTGTTTGGATCTAAACTTTTTTTTACAAATGTTCCC